AAAAAAAAAAAAAAGAACTAGCGAGGAAAAGAACACACAAACCATTAACACATTACATGATTTGGAAAATTTTAACCATTACTTAGTCTTACACCTTACTACATACAACATCCGATTTAATAAACTTAATGTGAGCACTAACGTACCAAACCGAAATCCGGTTCACACCGAAGATGAACATGGAAAAGCTGACAAAACCGGTTAAAAACTAGACCCAAGTATGGACAACTTGGAGAGACTACCGACCAGGGCACAAGAAGGCCAAATTTAGGATTCAGATTTTCGTTAAGAGCGGCCTTGGATCAATGAAACAAACGCCTCGGACCATTTCTGTTTAATCGAGCTGGAGACATCCGATCCGCTCATGTTTGCAGTAAACATATTCCCGTCTGGACCGGTAAGGACCCATTTCACTTTATCTGGTGGGTTTTGGTCAATAACCTCGGCCTGAAATCCGGTAAGCTGAAACATGCGTTAAATAAGAAACCATTGTCAAGTCGGCATGGAACCGGTCTACCAAAAAAACCAAATCAAATCCAGAGACTAAATGATGAAACTTGAGTCTAATCTTCATTTATCTTTAAGCTTTGGAAACTTACAGAAAGCCGCTCAGAACGCTCCATGGAAACAGAGTCAAGTGTACTGTTCCCGGTTGCTTGTAAGTATCTCTCAACAGCAGCCATGGAACGGAATTGATTCCCCGTTCCTGGCTCAATGTAAGTCTGCAAAAAAAGAGTATTAATAGTTTGGAAAAGCCAGACCATAAACACAGACCATATATATAACCAAAGCCACAGATGTGTACCCTGTCTATATGACTGGAATTTCTCCGTGGTTTCTTCTCAACGATCCACCCATCAGGTAAACTGAAATCTTTGGGGTTGACACGGTGACACTGTAAAAGCATAAGCTGATGCTGATCTGTATGGTTCCCGGATTCGTTCAAGTATCTCTCAACTGAGACAAGGGAACGAACCGCTTTCCCGTTCTTCGCTCAACATAGTACTGGAAATAACAATAGTAACGGGTTGAGTGCATATCACGCGGAAAGAAAAAGCTACTAATATAACCAAATCAGTAAACTCCTCTTTATTCATTTGTCTAATTAGCAAGAGCTCCTCAACTCTCGACCCGTTACTATTGTTCATTCGTCTCTACTTGGAACTTGCACTCGTCAAAGCAAATACAAAGCTTAGGATTTTCTTTTTCTTTTTTCTTGAGCTGCTCTGTTTGTAATGTGCGTCACTGCAGCCTGATCTTGCCAAATTGGTCATTGGGAGGGTAGCCGTGGAAACTAGACAAGAAACCGTGCAGCCTCCATCTGAAAGACTCAAGGCCGTAAATTCAGTGTTCTACATAAAATACAAGTACCACCCCAACAAAGGTCGAGCTCGTAAGGGGCTTCATAGCCTCAAGCCTCCCCGTGATCGCATTGCTATAATAAAAAGAATCATTGACAAGCCTTCAGGAGACCTCACTCTCATGTTCGAGACTTGTTTTTCAAAAACGCTTCTATAAAGCACCGGAGGATGGCTCAAGTCCATTACTAAGTTTCTAATAAGTAATTGTGGTCATGTAACACATTAATATATTTATGCTCTCAAATGGCTGTTTGGATTTGCTATGTGGATTGATTTTGGAAAATCTCTTGTGTTTCAAATTGTTGCTTTCGTAACATCTCATGCCAAGGAGTCGGATAGTTTGTACATGTGTAGGCTTTATGATGCCTTCCTTCAAGGCAAAGTAAAGTTTTAGGAACAATTACTGCATGGTAGTTGTGCGAATCGAATTCTACTCTACGCATCTGAATTCCTTTTCAGACTTACTCATACAAATTGAATTATACGCTTGGAAAAAATCATGAGTATTGCTCTGTTTTTGTCTTTCTAAAGAACATTTCAACCGGTTAAAGTTTAAACAGGTTTTGAATGATTTATCTTTTTGTTGGATACAGATTTTTCTTCGACTTTAGTATGGCATATGTTGGAGCTGGGATGATCTGTTCACATTTGGGCGAATCTATCGTTGCTCCTCGTTACGATTCTCTCTTGGCGAATTATGTGGCCTCTGATTGCTCGGCTTAAAGGCGAATGGTTTCCTGCTACATTGCCGGAGAGTAGCATGAAGAGCTTAAATGGCTACAAGGTCTGATTTGTATACTTTAGTTCTATACTATATCTTCACAAGTTTCGAGCTGCGGAAGCGATAGAGATGCCATAAGTTTCCCTTTTGGTTGTTGTTGTTGTTATCATGTGTTTATATGCATTGCATTGATCTTAGGAGATGGACTTTATAACTTCCTCAAGATACTCTTTTTCACTGGAAAAAGCTTCCACTCTAGACTCTCCAAAGCCAATAGCATCAACACATGTAAGTTATCTTCAGAATCTCTATCTGCGAAACCAATAACCATTCTGTATTCGAAGTCAAAATGTATCCGATTGATTTTAGTGGCAGAAATTCCAGATGATGGCACTGAAGAATCCAAAAAAACTTAAACGAGAGAACGAAGTATTCATTAAAGAGAGCATTCAGCTATGGATGGCTTGTGCTGGATACTTATTCTTCTCCCTTATCTCCATCATTGCAATCCCTTTGATGTTCCCTCAGCTAATATGGTACTTCGTCCTCACAGCTTACCTCCTTGCGCCGTCTCTGAGTTTCTGTAACGCCTACGAGGCTGGTTTAACCGACATGAACATGGCTTACAACTACGGTAAAGCGGAGCTCTTTGTCATGGCGGCATTGGCTGGTAAAAGCGATGAGTTAGTGGCAGGAATGGTCGCTTGTGGTCTCATAAAATTGATTGTCTCTGTCTCAGCTGATTTGATGCACGATTTCATGATAGGACATCTAAGGCTCACCTCGCCACGCTCGATCCTTGTAGCACAAGCTATCGGGACAACGATAGGCTGCGTGGTTGCGCCGCTCACATTTTTCCTCTTCTACAAGGCATCTGATGTTGGAAACCCGGCAGGATGGTGACTACAAGGCTCCTTATGCAATCATGTATAGAAACATGGCCATCACCGGTGTTCAARGTCTCTCGGCTTTTCCCTTGCATTGCCTAGAGCTTTGCTACGGGTTCTTTGCGTTTGCGGTTGGTGCCAACCTGGCAAGAGACCTCTTACCGGAGAGGCCATGGAAGTTGTCCCATTCCCAATGGCAATGGCTGTGCCGTTCTTGGTTAGTGGATCATATGCATTTGATATGTGTATTGGTAGCCCACGTTGAAGAGACTTGAGATCCAGCCTCTATGAGCAACAGTAGTTGTATTTCAAAGTATGGGGTCTTCTCTCACTCATCGTTTTGATGAATATATGATGGTTATAGTTCAATGATGTTAGGCATCGCAATCCGACATTTGCTATCAACATGTCGGGCCTAAGACAATTTACAAAAACTAAAATAGTTGTATGTTATTTCGATTCGAAAAATGGTTCTTTTACCATCTACCATTTCATATGAATTAGTAATAAATGTTGGCATGTTGTTCTATATTACAGACTAGAACATTAATTGATCTCAAGAATGGGTATTACATATATTAAAATGAGTTAAAAACTAATTTTCAGAGTTAGTGGAAGATTGATGGAACTGATGTTTCGCATGAAGTTTTGTAGGTGAGAGAATGTAGATGGAATAAAGTGTGAAGAAATTTTATTTTGTTTTTTGCCACCAAAATTTGATAAAGCCTTGGTGGATTTACCGAAAACATTCATGTTCTTTGATTGTTAAATTGAATTTAATCTCTCTGTATCAAATAACTTGATGTTGTAAGGATGTTTCATACAAATTAAGAAACCATATAGATAATGTAGTTGTGTGTACTTTTACATTAGTCAATGATTTTTACATTTAATAAAATTAGTTTAACCAATCACAAAAAATATTGCAGAATTCTAATGTCATAAAAGGATAAAAAGTAATAATTTTTTTTTTTATTGAAAAATGAAAACATCAACTAATTTAATACATCAAATAATATGATATGGAGAGAATAGTTTAAATCACAATTTGACTATTTTTGTACAAATCTTGTCCACATAACGGAAAAGGAAACTTAACAAAAGTAATAAATAGTTTTACATTTTGCTAAAAATATATTAGATAAATCTATTGGAAAATATCCAAAGTTCGATATAAACACATTGCCCCACAGAAAAATGTCCCCTCCATTAACAAACAATAACATGACATACCATGTTTATATCAAACGAAAGGGATGAGAAGGCAAATCACACCATTTTTGGCAATGGTTTTGATCTGACGGCTTGAAATGCATGCAGAAAAGGAGAGCATATCAACATCACCAGAGTAAAAGCGACCAGTAGAGTCGTGGCTAGACCAGTCACATTCACTCTTCCGTTCGTAACAGAAACAATAAGGTTATCTTTAGAAACACCAGACATGTCTACACGTACGTAAAGCTTTCCATTTTCTAGCTGCTTCGACTCATAAGCAACATTCGATCCCTCCAGCACATTCGAGTGTGGCTGCAACACCGGACCAGTTAGCTTCGGATCTGCTCTACATCAAACAACAAAATTACTCATATCTAGACACACCTAATCTCAATACTAGAAATTTAAAATTGGTATAAGTTCTAACCATAATACTGTGAGGAATTGTGCCATGGGCAAACTTGCGGGGACCTTTGCTACGACGATCTACTTGAACATTTAATAGATTTATAAACATAATTAATTTGAAAACCAATGTTTAGTTAACATTTTAATCAAATTCAATTAATTACTTTTCAAAAATTCAGCCATATTCCACCAGATTCAGCTATTACCATTAAAATTCAGAGTTATTATGCCAAGTTTCGCAAAAAAATACTAAAAATCCAAC